GTATGAAAAATTAATTACATGATTTTTTTTTGGTATTTTTATTAAATAAATTGTTATACGTCTTGTGAAATACTCAACTCTTCATTTTCAAATTATAAATACATTTATTATTTTTTATGTACAACATGGCAAACTAAACAGATAACATAGTGCCTTGTATTTTTATTGTTCAATAAGTGCTTAAAATTATCATTGTAGTTATTTAATAAAGGAAATACTATTATTTCATTTTTCTATTTTTTTCCCTAAAACAGCTAAACAAGAAGTATTCTTAAAATATGTTTGACTTATTCTCCATATGGGACGTTGACATTCAAGGTTTTTTTCGTACCTAAGTTTCTGAAGAAGTACTTTTTCATTATTTGTTAAGTACGTTTTTTACGTCTGATTTTTTATGGTTTATAAAGAAAGTTGAAATAATGTAAAAAATAAAAAGTTTTTAAAATTATACTTGATGAAGGACCAACAAATGGTGACTTGAATTAATTCATCAGACGTGTTGTAAAAAATTCAAACATGAACATACATGTTATTTGCTTATATACGTAATTCATCACAATTATCATAATTAAGATACTTAAATTAAAATAATTTATCATTAAAAAATCTTTTAAAAAATTTTGTGTATGTATACATAAGATATAATAATGTCATATACCTCATTAATGGTTGAGACTATCGTAAAGATTCCAAAGTATAGCTTCACGTATGTTGAAGTACTCGATGAGGCTCCCCTGAGTGCAGATATTTCAGCTTAACGCAGAAAGGATAACATGGAATTATTGTAAAATAGCCGTGCTATTTATCAGATATGCGTTAATTAATTTCACTCTATGTTCAAATTTTTAATTATTTCACACTTAAATTTATTGCTTACTTGAACAGATACAGATGTGTTTAAAACTTTTTCCCAATGCCTATATGCTTATGTAAGTCGTTTGTGTTATAACTTAAGGCTTACTGCATACCTTCATTATTTATTATTTCATCCTTAACAGCGTTTTGTTGAAAAATTTTTTTTTATAACATAAACTCTGTCGTTGAGATAAGTGATGATTTTTTAATGATTTTTAAAATATGCAAAGTAGGGAAGCATTTAAGTAATATATATCTCCCATGATAGTAATAATAGTAACATTACCATTAATTTGTTACTAATAGATACAGTAATATAGAAAGACAAATTATAGAATTTTTCATGCATAGCCTATTGCAGTTACCAATAAAATCTTTAAACTCTGTATACGCAATATGTTTTTTTTCTGCAGAACATTGATAAAAATGTATTGCAATACTCAACACCTCACGAACATTGTAACTCTTTCACAAACTATTTTTATAGATAGATAGTTTAACATTTGAATGAGCATGTATTTGATCCATCATGAATGATTCTAAGAATTCGGGCACTTTCCGACAACTTAAATATAACTTCAGACACCATCACGTGTTATTAAGTTGTCGGTAAATTGTAGGACAGGCTTGAGGGAACCAATTCATGAAGGTTTTCAAGATACTTTATTGCTAAAGATTAATTTTATGATTTTTAATTTATAATACCACAAGTAAAATACATAGATTGAGTTTAAACTGTACATAAAATAATATTTACCTAACGTAATAATGTTGATTTTTATTAATTTATTTTATCGTATTATGCATTTCTTACAACATTTGGTTGCCTAAAAATCGTGATATGATATTAATTTTTCGAAAAATGCATTTGAAATAACCTTTTTTTTTTGTTTTAATTAAAAACGTCTTATAAAAGTATTTTTTGCTTCTCTCATTATTTAAAATCATTCCTTTGCGCTTGGTTAAGATAAGTACTTGAATTTCAACAGCAGGTCATTTCTTATTTTGGATGGTCTTTTATTCATCACTTTTTTATCTCTGTTGATATCGATTTTTTTATGTCCAGTCAAATTGATCTGCTCTGTCCATTTATTAACTTCTAATAGCAACTTTCCACGTCACCTTTTTGTAACAAATTTTTGTGTTTGCTTAATTTCCCTTTCATGTCATAACATATTGTTGTGCCTCTCTTTGGATTTCTTTCTCCTGCCAAGTCGTGTTGTTCTTTGTAAATACTACTGTCAAACGTAACTTTCTTTTTGCTGTGTTCATATATGCGTTGACTTTGTATGACTTTTGAGACTGACTTTTCTGTTTTTAGGAAACATTTTTATTTGGATAACATGAGTTTTAGAATAGCTAATTTTATAAGTTAGTTTGTTGTAGTACGTAGATAAATCTGCAGGCGCCATGAGTGTCCTTTGGACGTGTTGTCTTATCACCTTCATGTTTAATTCTGAAGAGGCTGGCAGTGTGATGGCGAAATATTTATTTTGTACAGATATTTATCTTAATAAACAGTCATGCTTCCAAATACCAAGTTTTTAGTCCTTATTTATTACATACCACTCTCTTAATTATCTTTCTTTTTATTACTTGTGTTTTTTTCTTAAAGCTTTACAACAGTTTGAATAACTTTACAATGTTATTAGTATATTTCTTCAAAGCACATGAAGTCTTTATAAGCTACGTTTTATAAACATACATATAAATCTTTTTTTAGGTTACCCTTAAGAACTAACACATTTTCTAATCTGCTTTTTTAAATTTTCTCTTGGATTACTGTATTTACTTACTTAAATTTACTTTCGTAGTTTCATCGTTTCTCAAATAGTATTTCAGTCAAATTCTTTTTTGGCTTATTTGAATGTTTTGTGACTTCCTTTTATACCTTTCGTATTTTTTGTCCAGCTTATCTTTATCTTTTATCACATGTTCTATTACTCATAATCTTCCTTACTTGCTGTTATATCGTGCTGCTCTAGCTTGGAAATATCCAATGTATTTGTTACGAAAATTTTTTTTTCCTCTCCTTGTACCGTGTCTCTTTCACTTGAAACTTGACTTTGACTATTTACCTTTCTATCACTTAAAACGATATTTATTCTGTATTGTTTATGATTATTAACTTTTTTGTGTTATCAGTTGCTCGCTCATGCTTTACTTTATTACCTGTCCACACTTTTAATTGTTATTGCTTACTCAATTTTACCCAACAATGCACATATGTGCACTCTCCAACATATTATGATATGTGTTTATACAAGCATTTTGGTAAAAAAAAGTCAGCGGGATTTTCTGGAGGGAAAAATTGCACTCAAAAGGGAAGTAATGGACGAAATTTATGATGCTGATATACATGATCACTTTCAGATCATTGTCTTTCGTAGTAAAATTTGTATATTAAAAGTAAATTAATATTAAGTACACAATAGAAGTGCGGCATACTGCATCTGTCTTTTTTTCAGTTATTCATACGCCCTCTTGTGCATTAAACTTATACAGATCCAAAATAATTTAATCTTTTCTTTCTATGAGCCAAAAGAGTAACTGCCGCTTTGCGCCCTCGTAATCACTTTGAGCTTACGGGCAGAAAAGTTTTTTGCACTCTCCAGGCCAGAAGTACTTTTCTGCCCTAGAGCCCAAATTGATTTACTGGATGTAAAGTGTGCCTACGGACGCAAAATTGCATTTTGCGCCCTCGGTAAGAAAAACATTATACGCGACTTGGGCACCAACATACAACAACTGCGTCCTCCGGGCGCTCATGTTTTTGTACTTTGTGCCCTAGTGACGTAGTGCACCAAAAATTTGGACTATAAATTTTTCTTTAATCTAGTTTAAAGAAACACGGTATTGCTTTTACTAAGATCTTCGATGTATAAACTTCGTGTTCTACTGTGTTATAAGTTTTCTTATTTGCTTTCAGAATGTATACTTTTCTGCATATACTAGTATTAATGCATTTTTACTCAGAAAAGTTATAATAGAAATGGTGGCAAGACCGTTTTTTTAAGGCAGTAGCTTATGTTCAACAAGAAATAACCAAATATCTAGTAACGTGCAAGAATACCAGATATGTATGAATAATCAGTTAAAACTAGTGTCAACATTCGGGTGAACGAGTTATAAAGTTAAAGTTATACGGTTATGAAAAAACTTGGTTGGCATAGCTCATGCTTGATTTGTCTCATAATATTTTATTGGAATTTTATTTTTATGAAAAGATAATATTATAAAATAATTCAAAAAGATAGTAAATATAACATTTGTTGTATGGGTATGATAAATATAAACTTTGTTGTGTTCAGGAAAATATATTTTTAAGGATAGTTTTTTTTTATTAATATTATAAACTGACACAAAATCGTTACGAAAATGTTATTACTTGGCTGAATAGCCTTTCCCCGTACGTAGAGTAACAGTCGAAACACAAATTCAATAGCTTATTTTAAAGTACTCGTACAAAGTACTATTCTAAAAAAATATTTTCAGTAATAAACAAATTGTAATTACCGCTACATTTATGACATTCATACTTACAAATCGATCTGTTTGCTGTTGAAAAAATGGTTTTATGTATTAATTTATTGATTAACAAGTTATTCCAATTATCAGCGTCGTTTAACTAAAGAAATGATGATGTCTATAACGGTGAGGTACTATATTGATTAGGTTAACTGACTTAAATTATTTAATAGGAATTTTTTATTTTTAAATGCGAGCCAGTATCATGATAAGTCACTATACTATCGTTGCAAGAGTTGGAATAAATCTATTTACTTATATACAAGACGATACTATAAATCTTATATTAAACGAGGTAGCAACTTGAATAAAGAAGTTATGAGGTACGGTATGCATGAAAAGTATTAGCTTCACCCATCATAGCATTTATTAAATGTGTACACATGTGTGTAGATTTAAAATAATGTATAAGTTAAACCATTTAGCTATCCAAATCGTTCTAGATATTCTCGTTGAATCTTAGTATTCTATATTAAACACAAATTAATTATTAACACTGAAATATATTTTAACTGGATAAAAAAAGTTATACATTAGCATGTTCAAGAACACACTGTATGCTTATTGAAAATGAAATGAACCGTATTAAAATTTACACGACTCTCTTTTTCTTTCAGAAAATGACGTTTCATGGCGCAGTGCAAAAGATGATAATGTAAAAGATGTCTCTGATCGTAAAGATCACGGAATCGATCGAAAATTTGAGAAAAATCTTATTGTAAGTAGTAAAATCTTAATAATTAGTTTCGTTAAGTATTTTGTTATTTTACATTTTATTAATTCTGAAAGCTTTTTTGGCTTATATTTTTCATCACACTTTTTACATATTTATTTTTGTTCAACGAATAGAATTCCACGAAATATTTTTTAAGTATTAGTAGCCCTTACACGAAACCTGTGTGATGACAACTGTCGCTCTTAAGGACGTTTATGCTCAAAACGATTTTTTTTCAAGAATATTAAAAATTTAAATTTAAGTTATGGACATTACCATACATAAGTAGTTCAATTTTTATAAAGATTTGCCATGCCTTTTTCGAGACATTTAATTAGAAATTTACGCGTTTTAACATGGCCCCTTACAAGCAAGCCATTTGGAAATTCTTATTTTTGTCAATAAGTAAAAAAATATATTTATGGTTTCTTCTAAAAACGAGTAGCATACGAGAATCGTAACTATGATTTATCTTCCAAAAAATGAGAAGTATGGCCCGTGCCGTTTTAATGATATTTCAATTTAAAAACAGGTTTTCCATACTTTTCGTATACCTGTACAGTGATAAAATTCAACACACCTTTTTTCATATAGTTGAAATTTCTGATTTTTTTGTGGGTTTTATCATGTTAAGGTTGTTGAGGTTATTTAAACTGACGATAATTAACGATAATTTTTTAAAGCACGGCGATTTTCAGCTATACTTAATTGGTTGAGTACCACTGAGTTGCATAAACGTCCCTAAATTAAAATATGTTTTGTTACTCTGCTTGTGCTAGACATTTTATTGTCTACCTGTTATTGACTCTCCTGATTTCCCAACTTGTTTTTTTTTCTTCTACTTCTCTTCAACGTTTAATCTAGTCAATTTTAAATTGAATCTGTTAAAAGAGACCCTTCATCGCATCACTTACAAACTGTCTAGGCAATCTAAACTGTACTACCATCTCTGGTCCATTTAACAATTTGTTTTCCACTTCTTCAACCAAATCGATACTCATCCATTTCTTTACCATCTAGCGCAAAAAATTTGTAGAACGAAGTTCTTTTTTCTTTACTTTCCGAATTTTTCATTACATATTTTATACTCTGTTTAAAAAGAAAGTTAAAAGGTCGTTCGAACGATCAAAACTTCACAATACTTTAAATTTGAATCAGGGTGTGGTCACATGGAGATTACAAAACCTATAACGTGCAATACGAACTTTTCTTACAGCCAATGAGAGTTGAGCGGACTTTAACGTTCCTACTGTCAAAAGTCAATCGTTTACATGGTACTCAAAATTTTTAGCAGACAATGTTAATTAAATGGATGAAATTCGCTTGCAAGCTATCTCTTTCGCTCTTAAATAAGATCCGCACAGTAAACGATTGACTGTTGACAAAATGGAAAGGACAAATATGCATGTACCTACTAATATACAGTTAAGTGTTGACGCTGACAACTTCTTTAACTCTGCATTGAGATTAGCAAAACAGGTGTGACTTTTTGAAGAAAATGTCCTTACTCGTATCAAAAAATAACAATACCCGTAGCTTACAGAGACATAATTAGCCGTTGTTTACACTCGTGATGAATATTTGAAGTTATGAGCACAATTTCGTGTGGACTTGAGGTCCCGTCTGTATGTATACGGAGTTTTCAGTACAGAATTATATTTATTGGTTATCAGAAAAGTCCTTATTGCGTGTTGCAGATTTCGTACTCACTATCTGACTGTACCCTTAGTCTGCTGGCATATTTCTACTAACAGAGAAATATGTTTCAAAGCATGGCATTAAAAAAAAAGGAACTTTACTACGAATGATATCAGTAAGCAATTTAATCACCTAAAAATATATTTCCCGTGCATTGGAAAGCACGGCGCTAAATATTTTCTTGTCTAGTATGTCCACCGTGGCACTTTATATGTTACTGCTGGATAAAAAATTTTGTATCTCCAACTTTTCTTCTGCGTTCCTGTCGCTATTAGTCGTCTCGTGAAAAGCATGATGTAAAGAAATCACGAAAACGTAATTTTTTCTTCTTTTTTTTTTTTTTTTTTTAAGCTATATTAAGAATTTTCAAAGGATATTTTTAGTGATTTAATTCGATTTTCCAAATCTGACTGGCCGGAAAGCATCTCCGAGAAAAAAAATCCTCATCGAGAACGTCGTCCGACGTTGTCTGTGACATCTCGAGCTACTTTTCAGCCTTTCTTTATTTTCTTTCTTAAACGGAAAAAGTGGAAACATTAGATCAAAGATTATAATGAAAATATTAACACGAGATTTTTTAAATATTATCTTTACGAAAAAATCCAATAAAATTATCTGGTTAAAAAAATTTTATAGTTATGTTGCGACAAAACATAAAAAAAAATAAAAATTTAACAAGAATTGCAGATGTTTACGATTAAATTACATACATAAAGACATGTACACCTTGAATCATTACACTGTTTACGTTCAAGTCTAATATTCAAGTCCAGTGTTGCGTCGGTGCGACGATTTATTCGAGTCCAAGCTTTCGCTTAATAACTTATGACTCACGCTGGGCGCGTAGGTCAGGTGCGGGGCTAGAGGATAGTTAAATTAAACTATAGGGTGTTGGGGGTATGACTGTTTTCGAGTGAAGGGAATCAAGATGAAATGACTCCAAGCGGCTGTTGTACAATATCCTGATGCACTCACTCGTGGCGCGCATGAGGTTTATCAATGTTACTTGGAGCGGCATATTGAATAATGTCCCGTTCGGTATCTAGAAACTACCAGTACCGTCACGAGTAACGGTGTTGTTCTAGAGGTTGCGTAAAGGGAGTCAACTGTAGTTTGATTCATGATCGATCAAGAATCTACCAATACTGCCACGAGTAATGGTATTCGTTCTAGATTTTTACGTTGATTCAATCGTTAATTTGATTCCCGTGGGTCCTGGTGTACCAATACTGTTGCGAGTACTGGTGTGCACGTTGACTTAATTATCTCCTGGTGCGTACCACTACTGTAGCGTGTAATGTTGGGTGCGTTAGAGTTTATGCCTGCGCCGGAAAAAGAAGGAAAATAAATTACACAATTTCGTCAAATGCAAACACTTACATTTATTTTGAAAATGATGAACACTTGAACGCTCGGCGAACCAGTGCGAGACGTCCGAACTTGAAATTAAGAACCGTGGAGGACCAAACGGTAGCAGAGGTGGACTCTAACCAGACTTGGGCGAACTTGTATTTATTATTTGAAAAAAAAAGGTACTATTTTATTTAAAAAAAAAAAAAATACTTTAGTTCCAGAATAGTTGTATGAAGAAAATCTATAAATAAACGTTAAATGATCAAAACCAATAAAGAAATATATATTTAGTATCCGTTATCTTTACCTTACTGCCAATCACACAGATAGATTTATTTTTCAAAACAATGATACAAATTATTATACTAATTAACNTGTTTTAAATACGAAAACTTGAAATACAATTGTATTTGGTCAATGTATTTTAAATAAAGTATTTAAAATACAAATATATTTGTTCAAAGTATTTTAAGTTATTAATCAAACACAAGTGTTAATGTAAATACTTGATCAAATACAATTGTATTTCAAATACTTAATCAAGTACACTTGTATTTGATAAAGTAATTCAAAATTTACTCAGTTGATAACAAAGACGAATGTAAAAAAAAGTATTGCAATGCAAACCTTCCAAACATACAGTCGGTCAATTGGAGGCTTGGCAGTCTGGTTTGCGGAGAACGGCTGCGTGAAAGGTTAGAATCAGTAGGTACAGCTAAAAAATTATACTCATTTAAGTGACTAGCCGGTTTATTTTAGATAATTAGTTTGCAGTTATCAACTTACACTTGAAAACATCTGCATTGTAGTAGTCATGAGTAGGTAAGAGCTATCAATCTTCAGAAGAGACGTTATAATTACGTGAAAATGCAAAGAAGTGTTAGTCCTCGGTCGCATGAGGTGGAATAGCCAGCGGAAACATTTGAGCCCACGAGAGTGAGAGCGATCAAAGGATTTACTTTTCCGCCCAGACCTTTCTCTCACTCTCGTGAGCTCAAATGTTTCCGCTGTAACGTTCCGCTGGCTAATTCTGCCCCACATAACCAGGGCCTAAACGATTATGAATTTTCAGCATCGTCACAAAGGATGTTGATATGAACGAAGCCAAACAAGAGGTCAAGTACCCCAAGATCCTCAATGGAATTCTTTTCAGAGTGAAGTAAGTTAATAAAGACAATTTTGTCTCTGCAGTATGCACACATTTGATAGGACGTAAGAGATTATATATGTATTCAGGCACTTTGTACTCAACATCTAATTTTAGATTTCATTACAGTGTAAGCATTTAAATCAACCATAATTATTGAGATAAGCAAACGTATCGGCAGACAAGTAGCATAGCGTCATCATGCCTTGAATGCAAACAAATTATTTTTCTTTAATTGTTTAATGATGTCCTAACCAAAAAATTATAGCTAACTTACACCAGCAACTCTGGTTACAAATTTTTCAAAATCGGACATGCAAAAGAAGCCCCATTTCGAATAAACTTTACTGCTTTTATGTGTATTTTAGATGTATCATCCACAAGTACCTCAGGAGTTCGATGCAATGTACAAAAAAAGAAAAATACAATGTTCTGAAAGTAAACGTCAAACAAAGTTCTTAAAAAATTACATCAATTTATGCATTAAAGGTATGCAGCCGATGAGCTACGTTCAAAATGAATTTTTTGAAAAACTTATTAAAGGTAAACAGACTTGAAAATATATTTTTATACATCACACACAATGTTAAAATTATGTTTGAACATTTTAGATATTAATGAAAAATAAGTCATTGAATCAGAAGAATTTTTAGTATCATTCGTTAATGACAAGAATAGCACCGGTTTTGAAGAGCTGAAAATAACGCTTCAAAAAATATCCACCATCTGCTTAGCCTTGGTTGCTTCAGTTGTTGATGAAAAAAAATTTTTGTTTAATATTACTCATTATATACGCATATTTAAT